TCTTGTAAAATCATACATATATCTTTTTAGCTCACCTCTGATGAACACATTCGATGTGATTTAACAAATATTTGTGATGTTGTTTGTAAATCAGGACAATGTGTTACATCAATATGATTGGATGAAGGTGTATTCTGAGGATTTCGATCATATGAATCATCGATATCAGTCGATGATGGATGAAGTGTTGTCATTGTCGTCGATGTATTCGTACAGGGATCATCATCAATAAGTTTAGCTGCATACAGACTAAGTTGTGAAATAGAATCTACAACAATACTAAGTGGTCTAGCATGCATTCGAGAGAGGAATTCTTCATCTTCTTTCTCTTGTTCAACTCGAATAAAACGAGGTAGACGTTCACTAGTCAGATCACAATCCTTACATAATACAAATTCCATTTTCAGTTGATTTGAAAGTTTAGATGAACTTATAGTAGTCTCATGGTTTGGTAGATTATTCTGCTCTGTGGTCGGGGTGAAATTAGACGACTGAACACTTAAATGAGGTCTACGTTTACTGGATCGTGATCGTTGAAAACAATTTACATCAGATCTAGTTGTTAGACGATTCTCTTCATCACTGTGCTCAGGACTCACAGGTGAACTTGTTTCAGAGACTGCATCCGGTGATACTGGTGCTTTACCTGAACGAACTGGTGCAGGACTACACAGTTGTGAAGGGCTATTAAATCCATTACAGTACAATGATATTGTACGTCCAGAAATATTCATGGGTTTAACATCCACTGAACTGGTCATCATGGGAGTGGGAAAATGTCCCAGAAATATTTAGGATCCTTCTTGAATAATAATCAACTTCACAAGTCAGTCTCTTAATGGAAATATTTCAGAAAACTACAGATTCATGAAATATATATATGTCTGGTATAACCAATCACAACTTTCAACCAATCAAACAGAAGATTCCAAACGATATACGATTAACCAACCAAATAATCAACCAATCAGAATCCCATTTACAGAATGTAGATAGAAATATGCATATGAAATTAAGAATGGCTAGTGGCTAACAATAGAATCCAAGCCGTACTTTTCGTCCTGTTTAGGTCTTGTCAGGTGAATATGCCCGCATCCCAATGAGTGATGGTGTTTCCACCAAGACTCGTAGCCAAGACTCATCTCTTGAAATGCCATAGCGCCATGACGCCATAGACTACTAAATTTCGATAGCCACTCCATATGCAACAGGTACACTTTAATGTTAAAACTTGTTACCAAGACGGTCCAAACCAGTGATCAATGGGACATAACAAGTTCTAATGTCAATAAAACGCATCAGTCAGAAAATGGGATTATTAAGGATGGTTTTTAAAATATTAATATCCGAAAAATAAGTAAACTAAGAAGATAACTAAACCAAGTATCCCATAAGCTAAAAATCTGCTCAGTACGTTTACGAAGAAATATAGATTGTTCTGTCAGAAAAAGAAATTCACGTCAAAAGAAATCACCTATTTTCTGTGAGGAAAAATAGTAGTAGTAATAGGTAGGGAACAGAAATATCACCCTTTTCTAGGTAAATGGCAGGAAAGTGTTATTGCTTGTATTAAACTATCGTTGATTAGACCGAACTGATCGGTCTCTCTTAGCATACAGGCTCCTATGCGGACGCCTTGACATTGCCTGTTTTAATTATATATATATATATATATATATATATATATATATATATATATATATATATATATATATATATATATTAATGAGTGACGGTGGCTAGCAGCGGAGTCTAGGACGCGAGTTTTGTCCCATTTGGGACTCGTCAGCTGGATGTACCGGTATAATATAACCAATAACACTAAAACTATACCCCTTGCACAAAAAGTGGCTGTCGTGCCTCGGTGGTCTTGTGGATAGCCTTCTGGCACTCGAAGCGATAGGCCCCGAGTTCCAGTTCCAGTTAGAACAATATCACTCATTAGAAGGTAGACACATCCAGCTGACGAGTCCTAAATAGGACAAAACATGGGTCCCACTGTTAACCACTATCCATCATTAAAATAAGAGGGAACTTCGAACTTTATTGTGACTCAGACAGAATTAGACAGTTAATAAGGCCTAAAACTCGCACATTTTTTAAAATGCTTTCTTTAACCAGGCATTACACTTGACTATACTGGTGGAGAATCTTCGTTAGAATGAGACTGTGTTATAGTTCACTGCTACGCTGTTTCCTTATTGATTTATTTAGTCAATTTGCACTTGGTCGATTAATGGCTACTTTCCTCCTACAAAGATTGTGGATTAAGTCAAGAACCACAGTGTCTGTTGATTGGCTTTTCATCGAAATGTCATGCTTCTAGAAATTCTCCTGCAGCCCTTGAGTATTAAGAGTATTTCCACATTCTTCCAATGCACTTTGTGATTATGACTGTCGGCATGCATTGAAACCAAGGAGACTGCGTCATGTTGCTCTGCTACTACTATTTTTTGGTGTTCATGAATTCTTTGCATAATCCGACGGATGGAGTGGGCAAAATAGTATTGTGAGCTAGCTCTGCAACTCGTTTTATAGAATGCAGTTTTCCTGTCTTCCTTTGACAATGGGTCGTTCGGTTTGCCACACAACATGCTACATTTCTTTGGTTTTTGTGCTACTGCAGTTCCGAAAAGACAAAAAAATCGGCTGACAGTTTCTTAAACGTCCTTCATATATGCTTGGATAAGCGTTTATTGATTTACCCCGTCCTCTGTTCTGTTGGTAAATACTATTTGATAAAGTTGAGTGAATATTTATGGGCTCTGAACACTTTGTGCAAGTACTTTTCTTTAGATTTCCGTAGTGACTCAGTACTGGAATATATTTCTGCTTTTGAGAATAGTATTTGTTCACAATATCTATTGTGAACTGTGAGAAGATTGTTGTTTTAGTTAAAAATGTGATCAGTGTGTATTTTTTATGTATACTTGAGTCCCAATATGTGTTCTGTTGATGAGGATATCTCGGGACGAGACATCGTTGTTAGACTCTTCCTTCTTTGTGAAATGTGCTGTCCATTTCATCTTGTTTGAGAATTATGAATATGTCTTCAACTTACTGAATTCAAATGTTTTGATTTGATGAGAAGGATGACTGTTAATCTCAGACACTGGATCACTGGTTCAGCGATTAATTCTAACATTGGGGACCACAAAAGTATCCCGTTTGTTAGTTTTCCATCACTCCAATGATGTAGGTTACAAATTCAGTACAAAGTATGCGTTTTTCATCATTTTCGTATTCTGGACTATTCAACAGAAATAATTCTGCTTGAAGCTTTTCTGGTTTCGAATCTGTAGTAACTTAGACAGGTAAACCTGAGCTACACACTCGAGAGAAGTAGATACGACCCAACCTGATTTATTTTCCAATTATCAACACACAATACTGGCATAAAACCTTATCATTAAAGTTTTCCAAATCTCTGTACACGCATTGGTTCCCTTTTGTCTACATTGCAATTAAACCTAATAAAATTTGTATGTAACCTCGCCTGGTTAACTAGTTCACTAGTTACTAGCCGGTCCTAAGCCCGGGTAAAGAGGGAAGGTTGAGCATAGGCCTAGCAAACCTACCCCGTAAAACAAATCTAACCGCTAAAGAAACTTCAAAGCACAAACAAAATATAAAAAATGAAAACAAACTTATTCCTCGCTGGAATCGTTCAGGCGAAATCACGCCAGTTGGTGAAAGCCTTCGGGAAGCCAATTGGCCGATGTGTCTTCTCTCGATGAAAGCGAAAGTAAACGTGGGGACATGGAATGTCCGCACGATGTTTGAACCCAGCAAGGCAGCCCAGATTGCAAAAGAGATGAGAAGGCATGGCATGCAAGTGCTTGGAATTTGCGAAAGTAGATGGAATGGGAGTGGACTCTCCAAACTGTCAACTGGAGAATCAGTAATCTACTCCGATATTGTCACCCAGACGACAACCACGAGCACACTGAGGGAGTGGTTATCACGATGTCCCCAAGAGTGTCGAAGGCTCTCATGCAGTGGGAACCAACCTCCTCATACAGGATCATGACAGCAAAGTTCAACTCAAAAGGAAGGAAGGACACAATCATACAAAGCTATACCACGCACCTACAAATAATGCAGAGCAAGAGAAAAAGGAGGAATTCTACAGACAACTGCAATCAACACTGGACAAGACGTCAGTTGGCGATATCAAAATTCTAATGGGCGACATGAATGCCGAACTGGGAGGGGACAACACAGGAAGAGAACTAACCATGGGTCGAAAAGCGCTCGGTGAGGTGATGAACAAGAATGGAGAATTGTTTGCAGAATTCTGCGCATTCAACGATTTGGTGATTGGAGGCAGTGTGTTCAAGCACAAGGATATCCACAAAGCGACATGGATTTCACCAGATACAAGGACACACTGAAAGCCAAATCGACTTTATCTCAATCTCAAGAAAATGGGGACGCAGTCTACTTGACACAAGGTCAATGAAGAGGAGCAGATGTAGGTTCAGACCACTCACCATCTAGTGCAAGGAACCTTCCAAATCAAGTTAAAAGCCTTCAAGGAAGCTGGTGATAGACCGCAGTTCAAGTACAACACTCGGAAACTGAAGGATGAAACTACAAAGAAAATCTTCACGGCAGCCATCAAGACAAAATGGGAGATACCGAGGAACATCCCTGAAGAAACCTGTGTGGAAGAACACTGGAAGTCTTTGAAAGCTATGTGGAAAGAAACCTGCACAACAGTATTAGGAAGGAAGAAGAAAGAAGAGAAGGAATGGATCTCCTGGAAGCTGATAGAGGAGAGGAGGATGGTGAAGCAGGAGATAAACCAGTGCAACGATGCTCAACGACAAGAGGAACTGAGCACAATGTATAAAACACCGCACTGGACAAAGAAGTGAAGAAGAGTGCACGCAAAGACAAAAGACACTTCTATGAAACACTGGCAAGTGAAGCAGAATAGGCTGCAGGTAAGAGAGACCTGACGACATTGTATCATTTGATATTATCTATCTGGGAAGAGATCAACACAGACGAAACCAATGAAAGATGATGACGGAAATTTAATTACGAAAGAAGAGAAACAAAGGAAACAATGGGCCGACCACTTCAAGAAGCTCTTGAATCGACCACCACCTGCACTTCATCCAGAAATACCACCTGCAGCCGCCGAACTACAAGTGAACATAAATCCTCCAACAAAAATGGAAGTCCTGAACGCCATAAAGCTACTGAAATGCAGGAAAGCAGCAGGTTCAGATGGGGTCCCGCCAGAAGCACTGAGAGCAGACGCAGAGACAACAGCGGACATGCTCACATCACTATTGCAGAAGGTGTGGAAGGAAGAGAAGCTACCTGGCGATTGGAAGAAGGGTTACTTCGTCAAACTCCCGAAGAAGGGAGACCTCAGTGTTTGCAAGAACTGGCGAATAATCACTCTCCTGTCCACCCAGAGCAAGCAAAATATTAAGCCGCATCATCCTGGAGAGGCTAAAGGATGCACTGGATTCAAAACTACGACCAGAACAGGCAGGCTTCAGGAGGTACAAATCATGTGCGGACCAAATTGCAACGCTACACTATGCATCATCATAGAACAGAGTATAGAATGGCAATTAACTCTCTACCTCAACTTTATCGACTTTGAGAAGGCCTTTGACAGCGTCGACCGAGAAGTAATTTGGAAACCGCTTCATTACTACGGAGTACCGCAAACCTTTATCAGCCTCATTCAACAACTATATGAAGATGCCACATGCCAAGTAATTCACAATGGGAAGCTCAGTGATACTTTTGAAGTGAAGACAGGAGGGAAACCAGGTTGCCTACTATCCCCCATGATATTCCTGATTGTGGTCTACTGGATCATGCAACAAACAGTGAGGAGCGAGAAGAGAGGGATACGCTGGCTGGACTGCGGAAAAGAACCTAGAAGACTAGGATTTCGCCGATGACTTGTGCCTGATGTCACATAAACTTGAAGATCTGCAGGCAAAAACTAACAAGTTGGCAGAAGAGGCGAGGCAGCAAAGACGGGACTTCAAGTGAATATAGAGAAGACAGAGGTGATGAAGATACCGCACCAACAACTCCAACAACAACAACAAACTCCAATCACCGCCAACGGGAGAAACTTAAAGGAAGTAACCTCCTTCACCTATCTAGGAAGCACTGTTTCAACTACAGGCGGGACGGACGAGGACGTCAAAGTCAGAATCGGAAAAGCAAGACAGGTGTTCATTAGCCTGAAACCAGTGTGGAGATCTTCTGCACTGCACTCAACATATGGAACAAGATCCGGATTTTCAACACCAATCCAGTCAAGTCAGTGCTTCTGTATGGTTCAGAGACTTGGCGCATTACGAAAGGGATTTCCAACAAACTACAGACACTCATCAACAACTGCTTACGCTCGCTACTGAAAATCAGATGGCTGGAATAACAAGAATAAGCAACAAGGAACTCTGGGAACGAACCAACCAAGAGACCTATCACCCAACAAATATGCAGGAGGAAGTGCAGATGGATTGGGCATGCACTGAGAAGGCCGACTGTGGACATCACGCGTCAGGCCCTCGAGTGGAATCCCCACGGGAAGCGACGAGTTGGACGTCCGAGGGTGACATGGAGAGGAGATCGTGCGAGGAGGAAATGAGAGATTGTGGGCTGTCGTGGAGCCAGGTTCAAATGATTTCGGAGAACAGAGGTCACTGGAGACGTGCTACTGAAGCCCTGTGTTCCACTGGGAACCTAAGGGACTAATAATAATAATAATAAATTTGTATGTCGTATCAATAAAAGATTGTCATGAATAGCTGTAAGAGAAATAAAAGGTACCTAGCTGTTTAAACTTCATCATACTAGTTGGTTGTCCAGTCGTATTTCATCGTCTCAACCCTAATACAGCTGAATTATATACGATAAACGAAAAATATGCTGTAAGTTAGACGAATTCCGTTGACGGGTTGGTCTTCATGAACCTTGGGATCTAGTTGTTACTGTTAGCCGGGTGTAGGCAATCACCAGGAAACCCTGCTCGGCCTACTTTTCGGGCGTTTTGGCACTCGTCAGCAAGGCGTACCTGCATGATCAGAAGAACTGATGTCCCCGGAGAAATTTAAACCTAAGTCACATAGTGTTGTTGTAAGTGACTTTACCACTCACCTATTCTGGCCACAACTAGCCCCATGTGGGAGTGGATGAAGTACGTTGATTGGTCAATCCAGAAAAACTAATTTGATTTTGTCTAGTCCTGAGTGCTGACCGAAACCTATCGATTACTTTGGAATGTGACCACCAACCTAGGAGCCTCCTAGAAAACACAAAATTGGTTACTCTGTGATAATTAATCAGTGTAGCTTTTAGTGTGTCATATAGAATCATCATATCTTGCCTATTAACATTTACGACGCACTTAACCACTTAGACACATATGCATACATAATGTGCCGCATGCCCTCTATATAACCCTTTTAGCCTGTTAGTTGGATCACAATAAAAACTTGTTTATTCACTGCATAGGATCCCTTTGTCATTAAATTAAAAAAGGTAACTATCATTTTGACCATCTGAGACAGCCGTAGTTTGGAAGACTACTATTTATACTGGGCAAAGACTGAAGGTGAAATGAAAATTTGGACCGCAGCCGGATTCGAACTACTGACCACTGGATTTCCGACCCGATGATCCACCAACTGAGCTACGAGGTCCGGTGGTCGCTGGTACGAATCCAGCTGCAGTCCTAATTTTCATTTCACCTTCAACCATCACCCAGTATAAAAGTAATTATCTCAATTATTAACTTCAACTGCCTATTTCCATAAAAAATCTCACTTGTAAATAAAGTTGTTTATTTTTTGAAGCGGGATAAAGTTTGTTCCCATAAGCAACCTATGACGCACATAATTAATAGTAACAGAATCAGGTTTACAAAAAAAGGACTTCAACCGAAAGCGTTTAATGTTCAATAATCCTTTTTGTTTTAACACAAAGGGAGATTTAAAAGTTGTACAAGCTAATTAATAATCAAGTTTTGCAGACAAACACTTCAAGGAGCTATCTAGATCAAAATGAAATGCATATATCCTTTCATATCAAGTAAGGGACAAAACAGAAAGCTGAAAGAATTCGTCAACCTTACACTAGGATTTACTTTAAGAGAAAGAGAAAACCAAAGTCAAGTACATTTTAAACAACTATGAATTGAATAATTCAAGCTTCAAGAATATTGTATGCATTGATGACAGTTTCGGTTGAGTTTATAGATCACATTTGAATTAATGAATGACAGTATTAGCACACCAGTAGTAATTTGAAGTATCGAAATTCAAATGCATTCAGCAACGACATTTACGCTCATGCAGCGGGTGATGAAGTACACTTGTTATATGAGGGCGGAGGATACTACCTGGTTTCCTAAACTTTGGTAGGTAGAGTGTGGTTTGAACGCGTGACCCACTGGTTGAAAGTCAACTGAATAAACCAATAAACTACAGCTTCATCTGAAGTATGAGAACATTCCACGTTCAATTATAAGTGACTATGACTCTCTTTGTGCGGTTAAGTCCCTCTTCATTTGATCATTGATGGGCATGAGTGTCTGTCCGATGGTGCGAATTCAATTGCCCTTGGTTGGAAAGCTGGCCTGCTGGCGATTTTAATGGTTACGGTATTTTGAGCTTATTTATGGGACAGTAGACCTTCTCGTGGTATTCGCTGACAAGTAGATCTCAACCATGGGACCAACTCATCGTCTTTCCAACCAGAGCTAGGATTTCAAAGTGACGAAACCTACTTAGCACGGGTGATGACAGAGAAAAGCAGTTCGTCAAAACTACTGTCAAGTATCTTATCTGTTTGCTCGGGCACATGTATCACGTGGTTCAGTGGTCGATGGGATAGCAAACATAAGGATGCAAAGTGTGGTGAAAATCTGTAACCTCTCCCGAATAGAACCGGCATGCTTGCCAATATCTCTGGTATGGGTTGCAGAGTAATGGGGTCATTATCGAATACTCAAAGCAATAAAGGTTTCATCATCCTCCTGTCTGAGGAATGGGTCTTCAGAAGCAGTTATTGAATGACTCCTGAACCTGCTCAATTGTCTGTTAACACCACACAGGCAAGAAGGGATGAAATGCGTAGATGTCATCTCACTAACCAAGGTGACAGGGAGGTTGTTAATGCTCCAGCAACGTGTATGAGATGCAGCCGTCCTTAGAGGGATAAAACAGGTCAAGCACTCGATGCCATCCCAGCTAAACGGGTAAGGCCGGTACCCGGGGCTTTGAAGCCTTCTCTGTAAGTAGGAGTGCACTGTCTGATGCATACATTGATTTCAAGCATATGCGCCTGATTAAAAGCCAGCCTATTGGCGAGTGACGCTGAGCTAACTTTATATAAATCAGGTTAGTAAAATTGGAATAGTCAGAATTGTTTTCATTTTTGCAAACTAGAATTCTGTGAATCTCTCAATAGATCTAGTGTTCATCGTATTTTTAGGAAATACTTCCGTTAATATTGTTGTGAATGAAGCTAATCTATTGGTTACTTTAGTGGTAGCTGTCAGTTGTGCTCATCTTACTCTACTGCCTCATCACAATAAGGTTACTTTTAAATACATTATCCAGAGAGAAAACATGAGTTGATCAATGATTTCACTCGCTTACTATCTTTGCTTCATCGTCTAATCTTTAAGATGGCACGTGACCATCACTTTATTCCAGCAGCCTATTGACTGAAAATTCAGTTTTTGTGAAATAGGAGTACAATATGCGAAATTTCCTCATAGCATAGTATCATCAAAGAAAACTTCTATTTCAATGATTTAAAGCAGGTGGATAGCAATGGCGTATTTTGGAAAATTTTAGCAAAACAATGAGAAACTTGGAGTAAAGAGAAGGCACGGTAACTAAAACTAGGGGGAGGTACAACACAGTGACTACCGTAATGACTTTGTCAAATTTAACTCCGAGAAATCGTCAACAGAAAAATAACTAATTCGTTTGCATCGATGACATTTGTATAATATGTGGGAAAAACTTCCAATAAGAAACATTTGTTGAGAGTTTAAGAACACCGCTCCCTGTCGACTGACTACGCAGGTCAGGTGAGACTTCCTGACGATTGATTCCTACCATCTAACTTGAAAGGTTGTTCATCTATTGATAAGGGATAACTGAAAAGCATCAATTAAATTCGATGTTCTCATTCTTGGGTAGCCGGGTGGGTAAGTAACAAAACGATCTGGGTCAGTTCGATTGCATTCAACAGCAAACAAAAACTTGTATAGTTTATATCCTCAGTAAATTGGAAAATCTGTGTTATCAAAAAGATGCATTGAGAATAGCAATCAACGATGAGCGATCTAACTTCGCATCTTCAGGAATCGTAAGCCAGTAGTTTGGAAGACACCAACCTGTATGGTTGGATTTCAACATACTGTTAAGGTCAGTGATGAGAAACTTCGTCAACTGCTACTATTTCTTACTTTCCCTGCCCTTCAGTCAACACGTTGCGTTGTCTTAGG